TACATCTCACTTACAGGAAAAAAAAAGAAAAAGTAGAAACATATATTTCAGACTTTGTTTAGGCTACTTTATAAGTGTATAATTGGTTTTAAACTCTACACTTATTTTAAAAACATATCAAACAAAGGTCACCTAGGATAAATCAAAATTGTAAGAATGTTTGAGGAATACAGACTCCTAAGCAAAAAATTTGAAACCCACATGTTTGTCCAGGGACATGTTTGTCCAGTGGGAGCCTGAAGACACCTGTTCACTACCACAGCATATGACACAAAGCTATAGAGCTCATGAACATCAAACATCACCCAGTAGTCACTGTGGACTGAAACTGAAATTCCCAATCAAGAGAACCTATACAGCATTAACCAAGCACTAAATAACCCATGATAAAGATCATGCAGGCTGACACCCTAAACAGGAATCATGGGCTGTTTTCACCTCTCCAAAGTGCAGTTACAATATTTATCCTATTGAGCCATGTTTTTAACACATACTTTGTCCTTTATTGATCTACTTTCATTCACATGTCAATCATTTTTCTTACCTTACCCCACCTTTGTACCTAAAATGCCTTCCTGTCTCTCCCATTGGGCCACTCTTCAATACTCTCTCACTCTGTAATACATCTGTCTTTGATTTCCTCTATTCGTGCATCCTCAAGGGACCACAAATTTCCAAAGTGGGACTTATTTCAAGGGTGGAGGGGCTTGAATTCTAATAGATCTTGGGAAAGTGTAACCAAAATTTGAGTTTAGGTAAGTTATCAATTATGATTTCTTATAGCTTAAAAAATAATCATTTAAAATTTTAAAGCACATTGTGGTTTATAAATAACTCATATATTAATCTTATTTTATTCTTACAGGATCCCAGTGATAGGTAAAGTGGTTATTGTCACACACCCATTTATAGATAAGTCACTAATTTTGAGGCAAAGCTCAGTAGAATTCATTGTTTTAACCCTAAGATGAGTAGTCTTAGAGAGCTACTTTGAAGATTGCTTTGTTGTAGCTATTTTTTTCAGAAGTTGACACACCCGAATATGAAATTATGAAAAGTGTGCTCTATAATCACTTACCATCTTTCACAATCAGAAATAAGTTCTGAAGTCTTAGAAAGGTTTTAGTCAGAGGACACCATCATCACAGAGCAAAGCATCAGGTGTTCAGTAGTGGAGAGAATAACAAGGGCTTTTTTGTTTGATTGCTTGGTTGGTTTTGGTTTGTTGTTGTTGTTTTTTTTTTTTCCATGCAACAATGTCTGGTTTTATGCATGGGATTTCATCATCAGGGAGGAGGAACAAAGTGGAGAAAATCCAGTCTGCAGGCCATTTTGTTTTCAACCCCTGTCTTATTGGACCTATTTGTTGTGGGTTAACTGTCAGAGAGGGTAAACTTAGCATTAGTTAAGATATGTGAATCAGGATAGAGGTCTCATGCCAATGAAAACCCTGGTTTCTCTTTAAAAATATAAAGAAAAGTAGTAAAAAAAAAAAAAAAAGCTGTAACTCACAATGAAACCAGAAGGTAGGTGGGGACATCAGGCACCCCAGTGCCTGAAAAAGGACCCAGGGGCTGGCAAGAGGTTCTCGATTCTGCTCGTGCTCCTGCTGTTAATACGTATTTGCAGAGTGAATTAAGAGAATGACTGGTTGTAGTCGAGACACCTGTTGTAAAATTAAACTCCGAATCTGTCAGCTCAGCCCCTTCCACTTCCCCCACGGCATCTTTCCTCATCTTGCCCCGCCCACTCTCCTCCCTTCCCACGTGACAGTGAAACTATGCACTGCCTTGTATGGTCAGTCTGCAGAGCAAGTCCCTTTCTCTACTTGCTGGCTTTGTTCCTTGAGATTAGTTAAGGCCAAAGTTATTGCATTTCTATTCCCCCTGAAGGACACTGTGAATTGTCTCAGCTTCTTCTACTTAGCCTACATTAAACAAAGTTGAAAGGCCTTTTTTCCTTTCTTGCTTATTTGGAATTTCATTGGCATTGCATTTGTGAAACCAGGGGTGGTGGTGGTGGTAGTGATGGTGGTGGTGATGGTGGTGTGTGTGTGTGTGTTTACACATCCCTGTTTGAACTGATGGCGAGAAAAGGCCAGGACAGAATGAATAAACTCCCTCAGTAGTTTAAAATTTTAAAGATAGAAGAAGGATGGGAGTTCATCAGAGTATAAAGGACTTTCAAAATATCTGTGAGAAGACTTTTGTTAAAAAGAAGTTTTGAGGGAATCTATTGATAGACAAAATAATAGGGAATTGAAATGAGTATATGTTTCCAAGTTTCTATTTTTTAAATGTACGTTATCTAGAATGATTAGAAATAGTTAATATTGCAAATATCTTATTGTTTAAATCATAGATGATAAAGGCTTATCTGCCTCCTGACTAAGCATCCTTAAGTCTACAAGACTTGTTAGTTCTCATTACATTTCTTTTACATGAGAGCTACTCTATTTTCCTCTTAATGGGATGTTAGATTGACTCACAATGCCTGGGAAAAAAAATGAGGTTACTTTGAAAGTCTATCTTAAAATTTCCTATCTGTAGCACATTCATTATAGATATTAAGATTTGTAAGAATACTTGCATGTCACATAGATGAGACCTCTTTGCTTCATGACTCCTCTGGGTATAGAACCTCCTCCCAAACCCCTTTTCCCCATCCCTGTGATCCAGACTTCTGGCTGCACATAGATACTATCTCAAAGGGAATGGTGCTCACTGAGTAAGGTTAAAATCATAGGTTTACAAACATGTTCTTCTAAAGTAACTCTCGGAAAGACAAAAGAGCTACGAGATGTAACAAAATTGCCTTTTAGAGAATTTGTGTGGTTTAGTGATTTTCATCCAACGAATGCTAGCACCTTGTCAGTTTGTCCCAATCTCTTCAGCCTGCAGTTGAGCCAAAAATCTCCTGAGCCAAGCTTTCTCACAAGATTTCCTGTACTTCCTGTTTCTATGTGAGCCAGAAATACCATGAGAACGACCTTTCTTGTGGTATTTTTGCACTTCTACCCTGGGATAAAGAGAATCCCATATTGGGGAGGTTTTTTTTTTTAATTGTGCAACATTTTTAATTTTTAAACCTTCAAATGAAGTAAATTCGTCCTTGGGAATGAAAATTTGAGATGAGATTTGCTTGGCCCTAACTCATTTCTACTAGGAAGTATTCATGTTCAATGATCCAACATTTTATAACTTCTCTATGATATTTTTACAAGGAAATAGGTAAAACAATGTAGAGACTACAGTGGAAACTTATATCCTTGGATTTAAAAAGAATGTCATTCTTGAAGAAATGTGTCATGAAGAGTTGTAGTCTTAATAACATTAATGTATGGGACATAGTATATCATATATTTGTTTTCTTTGTTCTTAACCCCTTTGTTCCAAGGGTCAGGATATCCTGATCTAAAGCACTATTGCAAAATAACTGAACAAAAATAAAAATAGTCAAACACTTAGGAAACTCTTCAGTTGTTATGTCAAGGAAGTTTGTGACTGAGGACTGGGCTTAAGACATTATTCAGGAAATATGGTAATAGAGTGCAACAGCCTACATGTGCCTATTAAATAAAAGTGTCTCAATTCTAGAGAGCCTTAAGGCCCCCACTCTGATAGAAGGGTAAGATAAGAACTAGAAGGATTGTCAGAAGTAGTCGAAGTGTCAGACTGATGCTTCAACCCTTTCAACTCTTAACAAAGAAGGCAATAAAAAAAAAGGCACATCTTTCTCCTAAGTGTATCACTGATTATTCCCTAATCAGGTTGTATGAATATCTGGCTGTTATAGAAAGAATAGTCTGATCAATATTTTAATAATGAAATTCATAAGCAGTGTCTTCCATGTCTTTGATTGTTTTATACCCTCAAAGGATTCTGATCCTTCTTCATCTGTTAGGAAAGAGAATTGGTTTGCCAGTGTACTTTTCCATCCAAAAAAAAAAAAAAGAAAAAGAAAGAAAGAAAGAAAAGCCACTTAATTCAGTGTGGAAAACTAAACTTATTAACCATGGGTTTAGAGGAATAATAATAACAACAAAATTACTGTAGCCTCTGCTCGTTTCAGCTTTGAAAATAAATGAGGTGAGGGCAGTGAAAATAAAACACACCCTACAGTGGTCTTTCTCCTCTCCCCCACGCCTTTTCTTCCCTCCCCTAAAGAAATATCAAATGATTGTGTGATAAACCAGCCCCGACAGAAATAAAGAGCAGGAGCACCAGATCGTACATCAGCAAAACAAAATGCCAAGCAAAACAGAGCACTTTGTAACGCAGAGAAGTGAAGAGGAGAGAAAGGCAGGGCTGTTGCGATCGCCTCCAAGAAAACAGGAGCTATCCACGTGAATGTTCAGTTCAAATTGCTCTTACAAACCCAATTTGCTGGCAAAAGTGCCAAATACAATACTATCCCACTTTCATTTATGCCCAGGGCTTTTCACACAAGCTACAGGGGGCGTCGCCTTTGTTGTATGGATTCTGATTTCCAGGGTTAGCGCTTCGGTCTCTGAGCCATGGGACCCAAGACGCGTGATCCATGATTGTCCTCAACTGAACCACTCTCAGGTGGAAGCACAGCGGTTAGTGGCCCAGATATTAAGTCCACAATGCTCTGTCTCTGGAAAGTCAATCTTCAACCCTTTCTTTCCTTTCCTGTCACTGCCATTTATGCCCCCACCCCACCCCACCCCAAAAAATCCTTAAAATTATTATTACTTTCCTTGGAAATGGGTTTTTAACAATCCCAAGCTACGGGTCCAGACGATGCAACCCACAGCACGTTTGCATGAGGCCCTCGATGCTTCCCTAATGCACTTCTTTCGGAGTTAGCTGTGGAATGTGATTCAATGTTATTTCCCTTCCAAGAAGGGCAGCTGAGGTTACAAAGGGATTTGACTAATAGGCCAAAACCCAGTTAGGTTTCTGAGAACCAAATGACAGCAAAGGGGGAGGGGTGCGGAGGAGGGGAGTGTGTGAACCGTGGTGCTGAGGATCAATCCAAGAGCCGTCGGAATAGCCCCATCCAGTGCAGACCGTGGTGGACAGGCAAGGTGGCCCCGGGCCAGACCTTCCAGCGAGAAGCAGCTGCAAATTGGTTCTGCGGGTGCTCACTTCCCGTTTCCCGAGAGCTCCTTGAGGCTTGCGGGGTTGGAGCCAGGGGAGCTTCTAGGCTTCCTGCACCACGGGGGGCGGGACACCTTGCCTGACACCTCCAGATAACTGGCCTCTGGGGGACCCCTCTGAGACGCTGGCAAAGGGGAACCCGCTTCTTTGCCTGAAGTTCATACCGGCTAAACAGCCCGCTCGACGAACTTTGACAAGCACCAAAAGAGAATTGAGAGCAAATAAATCAGAAGAAGAGGGAGAGCAAATGCTCAGACCTCGATGGCTTTTTTCCCCCTGCTGTCTTTCCAGCTGTAGCCTGGGATTAATTAAGTGCTGTGAAGTCAGTGCCTGAGAGAGAAGGGGGAAAAAAAAAAAAAGAGTGCGTTTTATCTCTAAGGAAGGAGAGCAGTGAGAAACCTGGGGAAGCGACTTGCTCTCATCGTCAGTGTTTGTGGAAGGGACTGGAGGGCCAGGGTGGCTGTGCCAGGCTGGAGGAGGCTTGCCTTTCCAAAGCTGGAGAGGATTTCGCGGGGGTCCGCCTTCCCCTGCCTGGGAAGAGTTTCCCCTCTGGTAGCAGCAGCCGGCGCGGCAGCAACAGCAGCCCTACCTCCTCTTCAGGGGAACAGGGCAGAATGCCTGTGCTAGAGCGCTATTTCCACTCGGCAGAGCTAGGCAGAAGGTGGACAGCCCCAGAAGGGGTGCTGCCCTCCTCCCCGGGCAGCCCGCCGGGGTGCCAGCAGGGGCCGCTGCCCTGGGACTTGCCAGAGATGATCAGAATGGTCAAGCTGGTTTGGAAATCCAAAAGTGAGCTGCAGGCGACCAAACAGAGAGGCATTCTGGAGGCTGAAGATGCTCTCCACAGCTTTCCAGGTAAATCGACGTGTGAGATGTGAAAGGTAACAGGGCCGGGCCTGATGACTTTCAGCCCCTTCCTTGGAGTGCCCAAGCCATCAAAAATGGGAAATGGAAGGGCTACAAACTGTGCAGCACAGGGTCCGAGGGCTGTGGTTAATGAGCGTTTGCTATATGATAGAAATGCATCTTAAAATTAAGAGTGATGTGATAGGAGGAGCCTTAATAGCCTGAAATAAGCAACCTGGGTCCTGGGCTCAGCGTGCCACTTGCTTGCCCTGTGGCTTAAACAAGTGAAATTTCCTGAGCTTTGGTCCCAAAACAGAGGGGGTGGAATTGAACGCTCTTTACTAGCCATCCTGCCTGTGCACTTTCTTGTTGACAAGTCCGAGTTAACTCCGAGAGAGTATTCTTTTGGGGTTGCTTTTTGTAATGCTGTATATAAAGTAAAATATATTTTCTAAACTTTAACTATGAAACTACAGCAGATATAAATGATCCCAGGACTGAGTTTGGCTGAGAAGCTTTTTATGTCGTGGGAAAGTTGGTAAACTTCCTTGCCTCGGTTTCCCCTTTGGACAAATGTTAATGATACAAATTCCCTCATTTATGTCAGGAAAAATCAAGTCACTCATAAATGTGGAAACGATTCATTAGGGCTTTGTCATGTTATAAAAATGTGCTGTGTTTGGGACAGTTGTGGAGAACTTTAGCTGTGATTCTAACAGTGGGCTCTGCAACCACAAAGATAGCTGGGAGTCCTGTGAAGGATCCACAGAGACGCCCACGACACTGTAAACTAAGAATGCATAACCGACTGCGGGGTGCTCTCTTCCTTGGGGAATATATTGGCAGACATTTGGAAAGTGGCGGTTCACTTTAGAAGTGGGGATATGAGCATGTGTTTATGCATTTGAAGTCTTGGCTAGCCCTGACATACCATTGGTGGGGAGAGATGGTGTGCTAGATGGAAAAGGTACCTCGCTCTTTCTCATGGAAAGAGACTAGGAAATCAACACTGATTTTGTTTTTCATAATTTATGCAGAAGCTTTTTTAAGTGGCCTAATAATCTAAAAAGAATATTATGAAAAATAATGCTCTGAGGGAAAGAAAAAGATTTGAAAGGAAGAAAAGCACAACAGTGTTAGTCTCTAGTAAACAATGAGTGCTTTAGAAAGAAGGAAACCAATAGGACTGAGGTTTATGTGGCAATTGGGAGATGGATGCCCAGAGAAATGGGTCTTGGTCAGAAGAAATGAGGTAATGCTAAAGCCATCCCAAATTTCATGTGAGTAGTACAAAAAAAAAAATGGAAAAACCCACCTGGGCAGAAAACTGAACTATGACACTTCAACTGTTACCACTGTTGGTTTGTTTCAGTATATTAAATGATTAAGAGGCATATTTCAAATTGCACCTTTGATAAAGCTACCTAATTCAGCAGATGTTAGCAAGTCTGTGGGGATAGGTGTGCATTAGTGTATTATATTATATGTTAGTGCGTGTCTAATTCCTGAAAAAGCAACGCTACAGAGAGAAAACAGAACTCCTATACCTTTTTATCCCTTAAAAGGTACATTTCCCTGGATGCTATAAAGTTGAGCTAGTTGTCTTAATATGCGCCTGAACCACTGCCTTACTTTCGATGGAATATGGGGCAGTGGCCACTTTGGTTCCCAGGCAGGGTCCATTTCAACACCTCCCCAAAGGGTGCCTGCTTGCCTCCTCTTCTTTCTCTCCTGCCTTCCCACTCTCAGGGAGATGAGGGGCTCATGCGTTCTACCATGGGCATGAAGCCTTAGTGTCCATATTTGCAGCCTAGGGCCATAGGATGAAGCCGCAAAGATCAGTTGCCTCATTTTCCAAATTCTCTCATACTTCCTCTCTCATCTTGTTCCTGATGCTGCATTTTCTCCTTGCATCAGGCACTCTTCAACTGTGCCATTCTCACCATAACAGCCTGACAGTGAGGGCCTCAGGAACACTTGTAAAAGATTTCCAAAAATCTGGCATTTTTTTCCATTTTCGAAAAGCGATGGTTTAAGCTGTTTTCAGTTTGTGTACAGGGGTTTGTGGTAAAAAGCTCCTCAAAAGGATCACTAAGCCAAATGGTAACATTTCTCTCTCTCTTTCTCTCTCTCAAATCTGACCCTTCCCTCAGAACTCTCAAACAATTTCTTCTTCAACAGTAGTAAACAACTTGCTCTTCTTTAAATGCATCAAGTGGTGCCTTGCCTGTGAGCCTTGCCTTATGCTCAGAATGTCTTTCTTCGACTCAGTCAACTGAAAATCTTCTGTTCAAACGACCAAGTCCAGCTCAACATCCTTTTCTTTCTTTTTTTTTCCTAAGATTTTTATTGGGGAATTGGGGGATGGGAACAGCTCTGGGGAATTGGGGGAAGGGGAACAGACAAGTTGCTGTCCTTTTGTTCTTCAGTCTAGTTGTGGAGGACGTTGCTTCACTGGCCCAAGTTGGCACCATCATTGCGCTCTTCCCGGGCGAGACAGATCAGTCACCGGCTTCTGGACAGCCGCTCACTGCGGCTGCTGGCCACTCACGCTGGCTGCTGGCTACACACGGTAGCCCATGGCAACCCACTGCAGCAGGGGCTGCAGCCTATGCCGTCACCAGTGACTCATGGCAGCCCAGCTCCAGGTTGAGCTGTTGTTCAGCATCTTAGCTGTAGAGGGCAGTGTCACTGGCCCTCATATGTGGGATCCGAACCGGGGCCCTCTGGCGTCCCAAGCCAGCTCTTAACCAACGCGCCACTCGGCCGGCCCTCAGCATCCTTTTCTTTGTAGTGACTTTCCTGACCTCCACGTCTGCTGCCATCTTCCCCACCATCATTTATTTTTTCCTCTTTCCTATCTTTACCTGTAGGAACTTAACATATTACATTGATTGCACACAATATTTTTGCCACGCTAGTCACTAAAAACAGGAAAATTAAATCCTGGGATTGTCCAGGTATATTTTAACTGCTGGTGATAACGGAAAAATAGATTTGTATTTTTTAAAATCATGGAATTGCAGAAATTCTGAATAGAACAAACAGTCTTGAGGACTTTAGAGATGGGCGTCGCTATTTCTTAATAAGTTGGATTTAACCATAAAAGTTCCAGCTTTTCCTTTCCTTCATGAAGGGCACTGTTGTTTTTACTCCTACTTCCTAGACAAGACTGGAACTTTGTTTCTCATGAGTGAAATAGAGAAGTGCTCTGAAATTTTGCTTAGGAAATAAAGGGGGAGCACAAAAGGATTTGTGGGAAAATAAATGCATGAATCTGTCTTCATGAGAGAATTTAAGATGAAACACGCTGAACTGTGAGTGATAGGAGGCAGAAGGGAACAGTGTCCCCCAAAGAGAGCGAGAAAGTGCTAGAGAGGAAGTGACACATTCGAACTGTCTTATTATCTTCAGATGGTCATTCATTGGAGGTTAGTGGTGACTATTCCAAACAAAAGGCTAGAGGAGGGGATGGGGATTGACAGAAGGAAGAGGGGCTCATCATCTCCACATGTCAGGGTGTGTGCCTCTGGTCGTGCATGCACTCCGAGCTGGGCGTTGGCTGAGGCACTATTCACCCCGGAAAGGGGCTCTGGAAGTCATCAACTGTCATGCCCAAAGTTGGAGCATCAAACCGATTCACTGAGTCATACCCAAGTATTTAATTTTATTAATATTTGAATCATTTTCCTTTTATGAAGCAAATGAAGGATGGTCTGATTATCTAGTTAACACTAGATCAAGGGAATAAATAGTTCAGAGAGACTAAACAACTTGTCCCGGGTCACACTGACACTGTGACAGAGCCAGACCAGGATCTCAATAGTCCAATGCTAGTCCATAGACCTTACATGATCAGGGCCCATGCTGGGTAATTTAAAATTAAACCAAGATATGGCTTTATTGATTATATACAGATGGGCAAACATAGGAACTCATAATAAATCTTGGCCAAATGAGAAAAATAATATTACCTTGCAAAATAAGTCAAAAGATTGTACCTTCTTTACATTTTTCTACTTATTTTGTGGGCTTTAGTTTTAGATTCAAGCTGCAAGTGCTTGGAGAAAGATCCCCATTTATTATCACTAGAAAGTAAGCTTTGAAGCATGGTGGTAAGAGCCTGACCAGAAGTTGGGGAGTGGGGAGAGGGAAGAAGGATGGGGAATAAATAGGTGGTTTATCAAATGCTGTGAGTACAAATATTATTCTAATTGTTATTCTAGCAGCAATCTGTGTAAGACTAGACATCCCCTAGCAGGACTTGTTCTTAGTTGAATAAATAATTTGATTTTGGAATTCAACCAAATAACTGCAATCCCTGCTGTGGAACTTATCTTTCATTTTAGTGTCCCTGATCTAAATTTTACATTATATTTTACTTATTTATTAAGCTTGTTCTTATTTTAACAGCCCTTGGTTGGAGAAACATAAAAACACACAACTCCCTCAAGAAAATAAATTCATTTTCCCCATAGCTCTTGTACTTGTCCTACCTTTCAAGGAGAATACAAATATCAGAAATTTGCTTTTATACTCAGCTCTGAAAATCAAACAAATGTAGATGAGAAAATCTCCAAAAGAATTCTCTGATTCCAGAACTCTACAATTCAAATTGACATTTAAAAGGCTATGTTAAAATAGCTCAAGTATCACACATGGTGTAAATTAAATACGTTGAAGACTGAACACTTTGATCATTATAGTTCAAAAAGCACTTATTAGATACTTAGTGTATACCAGGGACTCAGAGATGAATCAAAGGCATAATGAGAGAAGAGCAATTATGAATTCATGAATCAGAGCTCTGTCTACAACATCAGTGTAAAAACTGGCCCTTGTTAGTTTAAATCTCTATGTCAACTGAAACTTTTAGCTATAAAACATGATATTCAGGAACACATTTAAAAATTCAAACATACTTTCAAATACTCATCAATATTAATGATTTCATTCAAAGCAGGACAAATTGTTATGATCAAAGAATCAGTTAGTCTTAACAGTAGATA